GGAGAGAAAGCGAGCTTGTGATTCACAGCTGTCTGATAACATGGGGGGACATTTTTGCTTCATCAGGCCTTTACACCCACCTCTGGAAATATTCCTGTTTGTTCCATTGTGTAAAATAGCCTTGGGTGAACTCAGCTTGTCTTATCTCATGGCTGAATTACTTGGTTATTCAAAGTCATTAGCAAGGGTCCTGACAAACTTGCTGTGGGATTATGGCATATCTATCTGAACAGGAAGGCAGAGTCCGGTGCAGACTCTCTGATGCCTCCAGAGTCACCGGGTGAAGAGGAAAAGGATGAGGGAAGCCACATGAGAACTATAAAAATGTGTGTGTAGGAACCCTTTTTCCTCTGCCTGTCCTTCCTTCAGCTGCCCTTGGAGAAGGCTTCAGCTGATAAGCCCTTTTGGTTCCTCCATGTGCTTCAGATTACTGAACTGAAATCCAGATGAGCAGGTGTTCCCAGATCTGCTTGGAGACCCACAGGTTTCTGATGTTTTCCCTGAGTAGTCAGTGGGGAACAGGCTATCTGTGGGCTCCCAAATGTGTGGTACCTGATCTTCTTCAACAGGTAAAGAGGAGCAATGTGCAAGTGCAGCAAGGAGGGAGCCCTTGCTGCTGGCTGTGGTGGGGATGAGCCTGTGGGAGCCCCAGGGTCTGCACAGTGCCTAAACCCCATGTGCCTCCCACCCCCTGCCCCAATGCAGCAGGAGGAAATGCTGAAGGTGTGAGAATGAGCACAGCCTGTGGGAGGAGAATGGCTTCCTCCCCTTCCGTAAGTTTTTCACCTACATGTGCTCAAAATGACTGAGATATGGGCTGTCTCTGGTGTGGTCACTGCTGGTCTGGTGTGGTTTTTTCTTTTTCCTCTCCTGTGAGGGGAGAGACAGGAGCCGCTTTGATTTTGCTTTTCCTTTCACTCTCAACATTTTTTTTTCCTCATTTGGATTTTCCTGTCTCTCCCCGTGTCCCCATTTTCCTCTGCTGTTTCAGCTGCTGTCCTAGCAATGAGTACAGATCCCCCTGCTTGTTGTACTCTACAGTTCCTAGAACTACATTTGTTTATGTTTGTTCTTGGAATCAAGATGGTAAAAATAGCCTAAAGGCCATGGAAATGGTGAGGGAGGGGAGTATAATGCATTGTGCATTGCTTTCATGGATAGCCAAAAGGTGGAAACCCTGCTGATTGGAATTGACTTTTCCCATGTCTCAAAGTTAGCCTACAGCTCACTGAGTTGATCTGGAGGCCTGGGAAAGGACATACTCCATTAAGTAGAGTTGCCACCTTTTGGAAGGGAAAAAAAGGAAATCTGGAAGAAAAGAACAGGGAGATAAAAGAAGATGAAAGTGGGCGGTGAGAGGAAGAAGAAAGATTAATAAAGTGAAGGGAAAATACCAATGGGAACAAAAACCAAAACACAAGAACTGTCAGAGAAAAAGCTGCATGAAATTTAGTGTCCTGACTTGGAATGTGATGCTACCATATGTGGGAGAGGGGAGTATAAACATCTCCAACTGCCCCATGAAGAGGTCTTGCTCTGATCTCAAAACATCCATTACTTATTTAATCTCCAAAACCGAGCTCTCCATACATCGTTTCCAGCCTGACTTCTTAATGAGGTATGTTGTAACACTGTGAGCCCTGTGAACATGTGGTGTTTCTGGGGCTCGAGTCACTCCAGTGTGGAAAGCCAATGATTTTTGCATGGGAGAGCCAAACCTGTGGGATGCAGGGTTGAAGGTGCATGAAAGGTGAACTGAGTGGTGAAGAACGGCTTAGAGCCCTGCCATCTTCTGCTCTGAACCAAGCTTTGGCATTAAGATCTGTGCAACATACTTTGAGCTACTTCTGTCAAGTTCTTTGTGTCAGTCTCTGCTGTGGGGTCACCGGTTAGCAGGGGTACAGATAATCCCTAAATGCAGGTCTGTGGAGGTCCCTACTCCTCCTTCTGGCACGGGGATCTGAAGAAAAGACCGGTGTAGGTAGTCTCCTGGCCCTAGGATGATATGATGCTGACTGATCTGCACCCCTTCTGCTTAGGGCTGTCTAGTCTATGGCAGATTTATCTAGGGGATGAATATTTGGTGCAATATGAAGCTGTATCAAGCAGTGAGATAACAGGAGAGTAGATGATTGCTGCCCAAGCTTGTTCCCAGGCCCTCTTTTATTCAACAAGAGGCATGTGTCTTAGGAGATCGAAACCTAGGTCATGGTTTTCTGCATAATTTTATCAAGGAAAGGGTTCTGTTACACAGGGTGGTGCCCTCAAGTGCCTGCAAACTGGCTGATGTCACTGCTCCACTGCTTATAGTGTCCCAAAGAAGGACTTGGAGGTGTGCAAGTGTTTGTCTGAAGCACTGGCAAAGGTTATCCAGGTTGTTACAGTAAAGTTGTAACTTGCTGGGTTCAACCAGAGTACCTATTGATCCAAATGTCTCATCCTGTCACCCAGATGGATAAAATGGTAGTCTAGTGCCATGATTGTACAGGGAGTATATGTGTATTCCCTCTAGACTACATAGTTTTCATTCTGTTTCTGAAATAGCTGTGACATTTGGGCTTCTAAACAGAGCTCCAGCTGAAGATGCTCAGGATTGTAATTTAGTTGTACTTCTATCTCTTTCTCTCTGCTCCCCTTTCATCACCACGTCTGCCTCTGCTCTTTCCCTGGCTTGCTGCCTTCTCACTCTTCCCCCCTGCTCTTTCTGTTCTCTGAATCTATTTTTACTGCTTCTGTCATCTTCATCAGTCAACATCTTCCCTGGGTCTTTCTTCCCTTGCTTCTTTCCCAATATCAAAGAGCGTAATTTTTTACTGTACATATAGGACAAAATGTTTAAAATGTTTGTTTGACCCTGAGATCTGTCCTCAAAGATTTAAAGGCATTCTTTAAAGAGCTTACAGTTGCGGGCTTTGTATACAAACTGATCGTCTTCCCATCCTTAGATGTGTTCAGCTCTCACAGCACGTAGAGCTGAAATTCCAGGAAAACCTCAGGGAAGCTGGGAATTGCTTACTGTAGAATGGAAGCACTAATGCGTGCTCTCATGCATTTGTCTCTGGGATATTTTAGATTTCTTTGACAAACTGGACTCTTGCAGCACATTGATATGGTGGTAAATATTGATAAGCTGTTTTTTGGACAGAGAAACGTGGGTGAACGCTGAGGAGTCAAGGTCACATTGGCATCCTCTATGCCAGACACTTTAACTGATTTTACTGAATGATTTTACTGGCCTGTATGACCAGCAGCGTAACTGCGAGGAATGTTAGGAAGACTCCCAGACATCAGTGCTGATCTCTCTCGGCTGCTCGGTTTTCCGGCCTCAGGTCTGGCAGACAGCGATGCACATGCTGTGCATGACAAGAGCACAGTGGATGAGATGTGTGAAATTTTGACAACCAGCTACTAGACCATGCTTTGTTTTGGGACTGAATTCCCACTCTAATCTGGTCCCACTCCTAATCTGGTCTAGCTCCGCTAATTAGCTGAGAGGTGGCTGTGGTAGTTGCACCAATGGGTTTCTGAAACAGTAAAATGCTGAGCACAGTTACATTGGTACACCACTTACAGGGGACTAACCCTTATGATTCAGAATTGAGCTAGTATCCAACAGGGATAAAAATAACATTTTTATTGGGTAAGGCTTGAGGAGCTGTAGAGGTTCAATACAGCCTCTAGCAGAGCTGTGAGAGCAACGTGCAGGCTGAATATCAGGCTCTGCCCCCATTCATTTGTCTTTGTGGTGGTCCCTACAGAGAGAATCTCCTCCCCAGTCACTGGAAACTGTCAGGATAAACCATCTCACCTTTGACATCTCAGCATGATTGACCCTCCCAGTTAGCTCTAAAAGAGTTTCCCTTGGTTTAAACCAGCCATCGGACAGTGTCCCATCTTCTCGGGCACAGACCTGGACACAAAGGTGATGTCTTCATGTCCTCTAAGCTTGATTACTGCAAAACAGCATAACCAGGAGTCAAAATTCCCTCAAAAGTGTCTTCTGATGTAAGCACAGCAGCACATGTACTTAACGATGCACATCTTTGCTGAGCTTTCACCACAGCACCAGTCTTCATGTCTGTTACAAAGTCCATGTCAGATAGTCTGCGTAGTAATAAAAGCCTTCATTGTTCTGGATCTAAGTGTTTTAGTAACTGTACTTTGCTTCAAAACCATTAGACACTCGTGGTCAAAGCTGAAAGTAACTAGAGACAAGGGATTGCAGGAGACATCTTAGATAGGTGTGGTCCCTGTGCTCCTTGCAAGAGGAGAGTGGCCACAGACCTTGTGAGCCTGAATAAAGAGCAAAACACCTGCTGTTGTATGTCAGATCTGATTCAGGGAGTTCTGTACAAGATATGCACACAAGATGCACTCCAGTGCTGGCTTTCCCTTCACTTCTCCTGCAACTCAAACAAACAGCTGAACAGAAAAGTGAAATAACTTGTTTTCTATTCATTTCTGAGGAAGAAAAACTGGTCATTTCTCTTTTAAATGTTTCTAAGACTTTGTGAAATTAAAATTAACAAGGTCATATAAAAGTCTTCTTGAACAGGTAGATCCAACATTAAAAAAAAAAAAGAAAAAGTCCTGGATTTTAGACTGGTGCAGTTTGTGACCCTCCCTTTATTTACACTGCAGGAAGGAAAGACTCTCGCAAATGAAATCTGTGCAGATGTCGAAGCAGCGCTTTGGAGAAGTAATGAAACTTTGCCACAGTATTCATTTCTCTTTGCCAAAGGAAAGACTTTATAGCTCTCTTAGAGACAACTTTCCTTCTGCCAGCGGCTTCGGCGCCCTTTCCCGTTTAACTCTCTGCTTTGCCCCTGCACCTACCGACGTGCGGGAGCGGGCATCTGCGGCTCGCCCGCCCCCAAGGAGTTAACTGGGTTTATTACATAATCTGTTTAACATTCGGGATGAATAGGAAACGCACGCCCCTCCTCTCCTACAATATGTTTGTGCGCTTTAAATCGCGCTGCTCCCGGGGCTGCGTGTGTGTGAGCCCTGCGCCGCTCGACATGCCCTGAGCCTCCCTCCCTCCGCCCCGGCGCCCACTGGCACCCCTGCCGCTCATCCCGGCCCTCCTCATGACACCGGCCTTGCACGCCCACGTGTCTGGTGTGCGTGTGTGTGGGCGCACATGAGAGGAGAGGAGCGAGGGGAGGCGAGACGGTCACGTTGATGGGGAGCGCCAGCCGTCGCCGGGAAGTGTGAAGACGAGCTCTTGCCATCGGTGGGACGGCTCCGACCGGACTGAGCGCCCTTGCATAATGCCATCCTTCGATGAGGTTTTGAAGGAAGCCGGGGAATTCGGAAGGTTTCAAAAGAGGGTCTTTTTCCTCCTCTGCCAGACGGGGGTAACTTTTTCTTTCCTGTTCGCGAGCGTGGTTTTCCTTGGGCAGGCACCCGGCAACTACTGGTGCAGGATCCCCGGGGCAGCCGAATTAAGCGAACGATGCGGCTGGAGTCTGGAAGAGGAGCAGAACTTCACGCTCCTGCCCTTGCGCTCCTTGGGGAACGGGTCCTCCGGCGGAGGGTGCGAGAGGCTGGACGTGGTGTGGGACGCCTCCATCAGCTGCGCCAGCCCACTCGCCCGCTACGGCAACGGCAGCGTGGGCAACCTGCCACTCACCGCCTGCCACGATAACTGGGTCTATAAACAGCCCCACTCCTCCATCGTCAGCGAGGTAAGGAACATTCCCGTCCTCCGGCCAGTGGCTTCTGTCCCAGTATGTGATTGCAGCAGTAAAATGAAATTGCCGCCACAAGGGTGGTTGCTTTGGTGGCTGGTTTTCCTTCCCGGATTGGTTTCGTTCCGAGTCACAAGCAAATTGGGACGATGAGTACGATCAAGTGTCAGCGACAAACTTTTAGGGGAAGGTGAGCTGATCTGAAGGGTGGCTTTCCAAAGCCACGCAAAGCCAAACGCCCCACACAAATACCTCTCTGTCGCAGAGGGAATGTCAGATTAAAATAAGGGTTAAGTCCTTGCAGCTGAGGCTTCTGGTGCTCAATTTTGGGCCAGCAACTTTGGTGGTGTAAACCCCAAGTGTAGCTGATACCACTTGACGATCTGGATCACTGTGTATTATTTATTCTCTGTATTTCCAGTACTGAAGTCTGAAGGTAATAAAAAAACACTAGTGGCAGACTGCCCTTCTCAGATCTGACAGGAGTCAGCAGAAATGATTATGCTTATTAAAGGAAAAAACCCAAATACACATTTTCGCCCAAAGCTATTCAGCTTTTCCTGAAATGTCAGAGTTGGAGAACCGCAGACTGTTACCACTAGTGTCAAGTGCTGGCAAATGTAGTGGCTTTTTAATGAAGCTGTGAAAGCCCATTTAAAATGCTTTCCTAGGAGATCCTCTGTGTAATCTGTAATCATGCTGCGGATGTGCTGTGGTCTGGCTCCAGCACACAGGCTGCACACTAGAAGTGTGTATTTTAAGGTCATCCTGACAGTAACTGTCACCAATACGAAGTGTGCTTAAAGGGGCTCGCTGGGAAATCATCAAGGTGCACCACAAAATGTGTCAATACAGCCGTAGGCTTTGCCTCCTGCCTGTCTCCTGAGCCTTTTTGCTGTAGTTTTTAACTAAGTGCTTGCTTGCAAGCTGTGCCCTCTGAAACAGGGGGCAGGACAGAGCGGGCAAAACCCTGAGCAAACACTGAACTGAAAAGTGGTGCCTATCCTGACCTTTCAGTCCACCATCCTTCCCTGGGACTGCTGGATCTGCTCACAGGCTTTAGGCTCTTCAGAGCAGCAGCTTTGTGGCCTGAGCACCGCATCCGACCTGTACAGCTTTAGCCAGGATCTATGATCAGAAGATAAATCAGAGCACCTGGCTGGCCCTAGAGCAAAGTTTCAGGATTGGCTTTTGTGTGTGATTGCTGAAATCAAGGCTCCTTGGAGGGCCCCAAGTGACACACAGGGAGCCGGTGTCAAACTTCAGTCCCTGAGAATGACGTCTGTCTGCCCGTGCTGACAGTGGCAGGAGGATGAATGCTGTTGGGGAGCCGTAGCCTGGCTCCAGAGTAAACCACAGGAGGCAGCTGTGGTGGGAAGGTTATGCTGCTGCATCTGAGGTACCTCTGATAGGGGACTGCGAGGGGATAGGGCTTGTTCCATTTACCTGGGCAGTCTCTGCTAACCATTCCTCTCAGAGCTTAAAAAACCCCACCGTTTTCTTTTTTTGTTCCTTTTTTTTCCCCTTCAGCCTTGCTATAAGTGAAAGCATGTGAGTTGTGTCCGTAGGATTGTGCTCAGAGTCCGTTTATGGCAGCAGTTTGTATATCTAGCAAAGCCACTGTGATTTTCCAGTAGTGCTGGGCCACTGGATACAGCTAAGAGAAAATGAAACCAGTGTTTGTCTTGCAGCAATAAAGGGGAGTGAAAGGTTCAATGTTCTCTGGTGAACACCTTGTCCGTTTGCGCCTTCTTCCCCCCTTCTCCTGGGGACACCCTCCAGGGTCAGGATGAAGGGATGCTTGTGGAAATGCTCCCCACTTGTGCTCCCAAAGGCACAGATCGGGAAATCCAAGGAGTAAATGTCTGCAAGTAGCAACAGGCTGGGATGATCTATCCCCTGTGACAGGGTAGCAGGTCCCATCGTCAGTGTCACTGCTGCTCCTAGAGGCACTCTTGCTGGCCAGGGGCACCTTGGCCGGAGGGTGCTCGGCTGTGACCTGTGGCACATGCATCCTGTTCCCAGTTTTGCAACATTTGCTGGATAAATCACATCCCACGAGGCTCAGTTTCTTCATCTAAAAAGGAAGATCGTGGCACAGACGTCCTGGCTCAGTTGTTTTGAGATGAGCTATTAAAAGGAGCTTGATATCTATTAATGTGTTACACATCCAGCAGAGACAATTTAAATCCCAGACTAAATTAAGTCTCCTTTTACTCAGCTGAGGCTCTAACAAGTCATGACTCAAGTTAAGCAGATCTATGCTCTGTTTAATCAATCATCAAACATGTATTTTCTTGTGTGTCTGCTTTTAAATGCTTCATTTGTCCATGTATGCAGAAATGTCTCTGTTTCTTTCAACTATCTTAAGATTTCTGGCACTTTATGTCTGGTTGAATCAACAGTGGAAGTGACCACTTTTGACCAACGTCAAAAGGATGAGTTACATGACAATCTGAAAGACATATGTTCAGGGAGGGAGAGAGAGAGGGGGTGAAGGAAAAGTCAGGATACTGAAGAAGTTCTTCCAGGGCTATGGCAAGCGCAGATCTGGTGTGGATTTGCAGTGTGACAGGGGAGGCAGAGGGCAAATGCAGGCAAGTAAAGCCTTTGCTGGGGAAAGATGTCATGTCAGAGAGCAGGCCTGGCAGGCAAACCACAGGCCATTGCAATCAATTATGAGTACCCTGAAGAAAGTAAATGATATGGCTGGAGGGACTGATTGATGAGGAGTTGCAGTGTTGCAGTACCTGGCTTCAGTGCTCTGGTCTGTGCCTGACTGGAGCATGCTGCTTGCTGGCCCTTCTCTTGTTTTAAATAGCTGTCTTCCATAAAGGCATTCACAGTGGCATCAGAGAAGGCATCAGGGGAAAAAGGGGAAAGGTGGACTGATAAAAAGCACCCACTGCTTTGTAAACAGTACCTGAGGTGCCTACTGCATTACCTGCTGCTGTGGGACTCCTGAGTGTCAGTGCTGGGGTACTGAGAGAACATACCAGGGCTTTCCTCCTTCAGGATTTGAGGAGAAGAGTAAAACCTATTAAGGTTTTCACAGTAGAAACACGTGGCAAAGCCAATTAGCTTGGTCTGGTGAAAAGCGTAAGAGCAGTGCAAAAGATATCCTTTTAAAATCTTCTTTTGATGTCTAACAGGTTCTGAGAGAGGCTCCTACTCTGCAGTGACATGCCTAAGGGTGTCTCTGCTCCATTGCTTTAGGTCAGGCTTTTCCATGAGGGCAATCTGGATGAGAGGAGGAGTTGTCCACTGGTGCTGCACACACAGCCCAGCACTGTGACGCCTGAATTGGAGTCGGGCAAACTAGGGATGATGTAAAGGTTTCGAGATGTCAGCAAAATCCCTTGCTATGTGTAAAACTTGGCAGCGACCCCTCCGACGCAATGCTGTCGCAAGTGGTTGATCTGCGCAGACGACCTTGGCCCAGTGCAGTCTGCTCCTGTTTAACTGAGCGGGTCTTGCACAGCTCCCTGTGAAACTGGAAGACACGGCTGTGTGCGTCAGTGGTGGGATGGAGCCCAGTGGCTTCTCAGGTTTTCCTTGGAGAGGGAGGCTGAGTGGGTAATTATCGAGCTAAATCCATTCCTGGCTGGTGCCAGCTGATGCCATCTGAAATGATGCTGGTTGTAGCAGGTGGCTGGTGCTTGGGAGGGAAGGCTGATGACAGCAGCACCTCTTACAGGGGGAGAAGAGCAGGGAAAGATGGCCTTTCTGTGCAGTGGATGGAGCAGGCAGAAGAGCAGGGTTGCCGGGGGGCTGCAGTGGACCAACAGGGGCGGCACAGCCTCATGCTCTGGCCTGGGGCTCTGGAAGGAAGCCCAGGTCACCCCCTGTGCTCCATAAGACTTGAAGTAGGAAGCATGTTGCCTACCATCTACTGCCAGGTGAGCCTTGTGAGGGACACACATGTACCCAGCACATACAGAAATCACTAAACCTAATTTCCCGAGGAATATGTGCTGAAGACTGAGTCACGGATTTTTAATGCTGCTGGGCTTTGGCACTATGTACTTTTGGCACAGTGGAAAAAGTCTAGCATTCTGTGACAGGGCGGCTGGTGACAGTTTGCAAAATAGCCTTTTTTTTTTTTTTTTTTTTTTTTTTTTTTTGTAAAGATCTAGTATCCTAGCACAATTTTGAATACTGGATGTTCCAGTATCGACCCTACTACCTATTTCTGTGTTATAAAAGACAGCAAATTCTGCAGTAAATTAATTTTTCAGAATGACTAAATTAAATTACTCAGATTGACTTGTTGGTTGTCTCAAGTTTCTTTTTTTTTTTTTTTTTTTAGTCATTTTTGGCGGTGATGACTCCTAGAGGCATGTGCATGAATTACAACTGCATCTGCAGGTTGAATGGCCTGTGATGGCAGATGACAGGAAGAGGGAAGTCTACATGGTCATCAGCAGTTACAACATAGCTGGCATATTTTAGACTTATTAGCAGCCTTTCTTGGCAGGAGCTCAGCAGAAGGGACCGATTCCAATATGCCCTGTCTGCAGCAAGTCTTCACACCGTGTATGATGTCATTTTGAGACCTGGCAACTGTTTATTGCCAAAGTGTGAGGTCTGTGGTGGACAAATGATCATCTGAACGTGTCCGATTGCACCTGCTGGGAATAAATCTTCTTACTCCTCTGCTTGCCAGCTGTCTCAGAAAATAATAGTCAGACAGCATTTGCAGAGAGACCTGTAAGCAAGGCAATAATGCTTGTCTCATAGGTTTTGCAGTCCCTCAGAGCAGGAGATAACATGGTGGTCAAGTTCAGGGTGGAGAAAGCACAGCTGGTCCTTTTGCTGTCTTCCTCCAAGGCAATAAACAACGCGTTTCACCCTCAAAGTGTTGATCTAGTGTGATTATTGTCATTGGCATGCCAGTACCCTGTCTTGTTTCCACTGTCATGGTGGGATTAATATTAAGCAGTGGAGGGAAAGGGAAAAAGGGCAGACAGAGGAGCAGCAATTGTTGAATTTCTTAT